CCTAACCCTAACCCTAACCCTGGGAAGGGAAGGGAGTGCAGCTCCCAGGAAGGAAAGGGAATGTGAGGCCTGACGTTCACGTCAACGATGCCTCCTGATGCAGCTCGGGCAAAGGGCTCGGTGTGGCTGCGGGGAGAGCAGGCTCACGTCCTGACCAGGGCCTCCCTGCTGCACCCCTTTCTCTCCTGCAAAGGAAGGCCCGGGATTTATAGGACCTGATGTTTACACAGTGTTTTTGGTTTTTTTTTTTCAGTGAGGGTGGCTCTCTTTAAGGAAAGAAAAAAGATAAAATTACAAATATGAAATTAGGCATAAGCTTTGGAAGGGCTTTGAAACGTACATTTCTAGCTTTCCTGTAAAAGCCATTTCTGGTTCCTGAACAGAAACCACTTCTCCAGGCTGCTGAGCCCGCAGGACAGAGGAGAAGAGAGGACGGCGCTCCGTCTCAGAACCAGGATGGGTGGTGGTGGTGGGTGCTGTCATTAGGAGCCATCGAGTTGGTTCCAAACCGTAGTGACCCTCTGCATGGCAAAGGAAGCACAGGTGCCCTGCCCGACCCCGTGGAAGGCAGCCCTGGGTCACTCCATCTCACCGATGGCCTTTCTCTCTGTGGCCGCCCTTCCACTTTGCCAGACGTGATGTCCTTCTCCAGGGACTGGTTTCTCCTGATCATGTGTTCCAAGTGTGGCAGATGATGCCTTGCCTTCCTCACCCCCAAGGAGCACGCTGACCTCCCCTCCTCCACTACAGATGGGTTTGCCCTTTTAGCAGTCACTGGTACTTTCGACGTTCTTCTCCGGCACCACAGTTCACATGCATGGGTTCCTCTTTGGTCTTCCTCATTCGTTGTCCAACTTCCACATGCACGTGACACAATGGAGGAGAATACCATGGCTCCGGACAGGCGCGCCTTAGTTCTTAAGCTCATATTCGTACTTTTCAATACGCTAAACAGATCTTGAGTGGCAGATTTACCTAATGCAATGAGTCTTTTGATCTCTTGACTGCTGCTTCCATGAGCATCAATTGTGGATCCAAGCAAGACATAATCCTTGACAACGTCCACCTTTTCTCCATTTATCATGAAGTTACCTATTGGTCTGGTTGTGAGGAATTGGGGATTTTTTGTTTTCATGCGATCCTTGCTCTTCATCAGCAGATGCCTCCAGTCTGGCTCACTCTTCTCGAGCAAGACCGTGCCAGCCGTGCGTCACGGTTGCTGGTAAGCCTTCTCCGGTCCCGATGTCAAGTCCTTCATCTCATGGAGCTTCTCTCTCTTTTTTAAAAAAATCATGTTATTAGGGGCTCATACAACTCATCACAATCTATGCATGCATCAATTGTGTCAAGCACATTGTACATTCATTGCCCTCATCATTCTCAAAACATCTCCTCTCCACTTAAGCCCCTGGCATTAGGTCCTCATTTTTCTCCTCC